TACCAATGTTGACCGATTTTTTGGTCTGCGCAGGAGCTAACGCAACTTCGTGCCCGCGCCAAAAGCGTTTATGCCGACTGGTAGAGGTGAGCTCATAACGTACTAATATGTCACAAAAAGAAAGTGCGTGAAGCCTCATACTTCTTACTGCTGACTAAGCCTTGCTTCGTGGCATGTCAGCCATGCCAGGCATAGAATTAGATCGTCTCTAAAATCAAGGTCCTAGACTAGACAACGTTCCGCGCTGCTAAACCTCTTTGACTTCATATGAAGTTTCGGCAATACGTTTAGCACTTTTACCAGTGCCCGCGTCGCAAGACGCGTGTACATCGTATTTGCCTTTGACGCCTTCAGGCTCTGCGTATTGTCTACCGCTTTCGACAGTCGCGCGTCGTCACAATGACGTTAGATACGACGCTCTTGGATCTCTCGAAGCTTCCTACGGATTCACAACTCTAGGATATAGATATTGACTACCCGCATCCCTCGGCGGTGAATCCCGTCCCTTTCAATAGAATCGTTTTTAATGCTGAGTAACTCTTATTATATATTACTTGAAATACAATAGAACTTAGTTCCTTCAAGTAGGCTGCCCAGCGCCTCGCAGAATCGACACTCTAACGTAGGGATGCCTTGCGTGGTAGGTCTGCCTCTCAGCTGAGAGCGAAAGAGGCACACAAAGTGCAATGTCATGTACTACCACAACGAAATATCCGTGGCTACCGCGGAGCTGCACAACAATAACTAGCTTTCTCCCTTTTTCCTCTGCAATACGGAGGGCATCATCTATGGCGCACTCGTAAAGCTTGCCTTCCAAGCACCCATCCTGACCTTGAAGCATGTAAATGCTTCGAGCGAGGTCTGGAATAGGAGGAGGGCGGATGCAAAAGGTTTTGGTGCAGGCCGCACCCGCTGGAGACTTTCCATGAACATAGTAAGCGTTGCCGTATCTGGGAGAAGTACAGCAGTCATTGTGGCGGTCCCGGCTTGTAACCCCTGAACATAGTCTGCATGCTCTCGTCTACACTGGCGGACAGACAAGAATTTCAAGCGCACCCGATACACCTAATTAGGCTGTGCGAGCAGTTGCAACACCTATCGCTCCGAATCGTTCCACGTTAGTAGCGCCAATCATAACAAAGTATCGCACGTAAGTGCCCATCGTCGCGCACTTCTCCTAAATCAAAGATCACAAGCACAATGGTATGGAAAAAGGGCCAGATCCTTGGTCAACGCCGCAGTCAGAGCGAGAGATTATATTCTTTCCGGTTCTCAAGGACTGGACGCTCAGCATCAGTGTCCTCATGATTAAACACATATCACTCCACTAATGTCCAAACGAAGCGCTCCTGGGCGTGCCTCGCCATTGCATTCTCAAAATTTACGAGCGCATCCTGGCGAGCGAATACTGCTTTCAATATTTTAGCTTTCAATTTTTTGATCCCATTGGGACCCAAGTTAGACAAGAGCTCGTTAGGCTATTCATGACCCTACACCCTATGTATACGCAAAAACGTTGGGCTCGTGCGCTCCGGAACCAAGATGACGCTGTTAGTTTGATCTGCTATTTTGCAATTGTGTATATAATAAATTCTGTTGAGAAGTTGCTAATTGTCGATATTGTATTCTAGTAGCATTTAGCAATTCAGCAAAGCAGCTCAAAACATTGTGGTATTCATTTTTACACATTAAAAGAAGGCAATATCTACGTTTCAGCAATAATGACTTCTCGCTGCGCAAAACACGAAAGCTGAAGTGAGACGAGCTGAGACATAGCTGAGACTTCTTAAAGATTTTGGCTAGAGCTAGATATTCCCCACACATCACACGAGTCATTGGCTTATGAACCGAAAAAACGTATCGACTCTTATCTTCACCTCTTAGCATTTAACATCGCAAATTGACTACAATTCATCAACTCCAATAACGACGAAGCAAAACGAGACTTGTGAAGCATATTTTCAGATTTGACCATCGTACTCACAAAAGAGTTACTCAGCTAGTTGTAACTAGATAGCTAACTCTTTAATGAGAAGTCATCAAATTTAAGCGTATAATAGATTGGCAATAAAAGTTGCTGTTAACCAAACACACCAAGCTATTTTTCTGATACATATTTTCAATAATCGCATTGTCTTATCGAAATGCGATCAGCGCCACCACAATAAGGAAGGTTGTGGTTTTGAACGGGTGGCTCATCGATCAGCTTAAGTGTGTGACCTAATAACTTCACAAATGTGTTCTTGATTTCCTATAATTCAGTTCTCGCTTGAATGCTGAAGTCGAATTCCCACGGTCATTGTGTAAGGTGATTGATGTGAGGTATGACTGACTGCCTTGATTGGCGATTGTACTGGCCCAAAGCTCTTATGTTGCATTGCTATTTTGCAGCTCTGAATCGAGGACCACAGTGTTATGCCAGGATTGCCTATCATTCTCACCAGCGGATGCGCAGAGATTGCTATGTCCATCCCACTGAGGCTACAGCATTGTCAATTTTATTTTACTAAGGCTGAATTCTGGTATTGGTATCACATAAAAGCATACTCACCTACACATCAGGTGTTCCCAAAGGATCAGATTTGGCTCCACATGTTGTAAATGTGTTATTGAACGCACAATGAAAGATATTTCGGTGGAGCTTGAATTCAGAATTGCGTAGCGTTTCTTCGACTTCTCAGAACTAGACTCGTCCAAACGACGCAAAATAAAACTGGAAAAGGTGGCTCGTTTACAGCGATCGTCAGCGACTCTTGTACGATCGTCATGAGCGATTGACTATGAAGAATCGAAACAGGCACGATGCAAGAAACGATCTGAAACATTATAAAGCTAATACATTAATTTTCTTTTCTTGTGAAATCTATTGATATGGAGAATTAGTCTATTGAGCAACATTTTCGTGGTTGAGCTTGCTTGACGATAATGGGCAGATTGAAATAATCTCGCGACTTATCATCATTTGATCAAGCAGTCGTTCCGTTCGTCAACAACTTAAATCTGCTGCAATCCGGACAGCATTCATTACTAGTGTTTAGCTTCTCTATTGCAATTTGGGCGACCAGCCGACCTCTCATATCACAATTGACGAAATAAAGGCCCGCTGAGTCAACTTGAAACGCTAAAAACGGTATTTCGTGCACGCTTATGTCGAATAAGGCAGTTACTTGAGTCGAGTCATCGTTGCACTATACTTTTCGCTTAAGCGAATACTTGCGATCGATATAAATGCTGTTCTTTCATGGTACGAAAAACAACAACATTAATGGTAATCTCAAACATAGCTGACCACATTCTTCGTAAATGTTGAACGTCAAAGGTGTCCGCAATGTCAGTTTCACAACTCTTTCCATGTTTCCGACTAGCCTGTCAGGGTTTGCGTCAAGTCCCAGGGCCTCTATCCACTAGCACTTCAAGCCCTGGTCTCATTATGGACGGGTCTCAGTATCCTATTACTTGATTTCGGCCTAATCTGATAACGTAAGAAACAAGTTTAACAATTTCTCGAAACGATTTGAACTTGCTAGTGGTACTTTAACAAGTATAACTCACTCTGGCTCCAAAGTGCAGTTCACGAATATGACAGACTCTCGTCGGTTCTTTAAAAAAATCTTTCGACGCATGTATGCGTCACGCACATAGCATATTATCTATGCGTCGATCAGCTGCTTTTGACCTTTTGTTGTTCGAAATTTGACTCTTTGAACCTCGTCTCGTAAGGAGAGAAGACCTTTAGCTAATTTTAGCTAACAAGTTACGACTTCATTCAACTGCACGAGATCAGTGGCGGCACGTCTCTGAAATGCGTCGCCACGCCTCCAAAACATTTACTTGAACAACTTAGTGAGATCCCTTAAAAATCTGAATAGAAGGAGCAAAAATATACTTGTAGCCTCTTACAAATCCAAACAAAAGGACCAACAATCCGAAAAAAAAGCACAGAAGATTTTGCACAGTCCACCCGTTTGGATAGCCAACCGGTCACGTGCTCGATCCCAGTTCCGGCGCCATTCATGAAGTTTCGCACCGGCCCGAAAGCCACATTGTAACTTCCTACTCAACACTCATCCACGCGGTAGACTTCTCTTTGTCCTACCCGTGTGAACAAGTTTGCATATGACTTTCTCGTCGACTGTTCAGCTTCAAATTTTTGGAGACCATTTGCTTGACAAGAAAGTCGAGAGTCCAGAAAAGAATGACAACAACAATTCAGAGCCGCAATGTACCAGTGACGGAAAATGGGCAAGCTTAAAGCGGGAGGATTCCTCACTTTTGAGCACTCAAAACACTGCCGATACGACAAATACGGTAACTATGGTCAGTTGTGCAACTTCTGCTCATTCGGATTGGCATGCGATCGCGTCAAACTCTTTCGATGAGACGTATCTGGAAAGCGGTTACGGGAGTGGTACTGGAGGCATGTCAATATCCTCTTCGAGCTCTTCCTTGGGCCACTTAAATGAGCCAATGAATAAACTTGCATTGGAAAACGAAGAGCATGATATGCCAGTTATTTCCATGCCATATCCTGGTTCGAGCTGGTATATGGGCAATAAAAGCGAAAATGGTTTTAGTTTGCCTTCACTTGGTGGACTTACGCTTCGCTCTCAAGGATCGAATGTAATGACGAATGAGAATGTTGCTTCAACCTGCTCGCCTTGTATCCGTTCGAACAGTTTGGATTATTCATTTACGACAGGACACGTGCCAAATGATGGGCCTTGTTCTGGAGTTTCTCTTTCTTTAGAACCATTAACCCCAGGCATGAGTCAAACATTGGAGCCTGCAGAGTTACTATTCGAGGACATGAACCCGTGGTCAAACCATGTTTCAGACTCGTACGAGAATCAGCACTATTCTCAGCCACCTCAGCCTGTTTATAACGTAACGCCGTATCCAAGCACATTGAATGGCTATCTTTATTTTGACGGTATTACGAACAATAACAATACGACAGCAACGTGTCTTTATGACTATGCACCTCCATTTCAGCATCATCAATTGCCTTCTTCTAATTGTGCAAGTCCTCTAATGTATCGGATGATCCAGCCACAAGACGTTTATCCGACAGAAACGTGGAGCTCGAATCAAGTTCCACCATTTTATTCGACGCCTTCAACCGCGACTACAACACCTGTTGAGTTACTTCCACAACAATATAATGGATGTGACCAATACGTTTCGGCTGGGCCAATGAAAAGGATGTTAAGGTCTTCAACACTTCACCAACGGCAAATGGACCATCCCTCAAATGATGATAAAGGTTTAGTAAATTCAAATACTTTATCAACTACGAATACGACGACTTCAAACCAAAGTTCAAAGATTCAACTTCTTACTGCATTAAGCGATTGTTATTGGAAAAATGGCCGCAAGAACTTGCAGTGTTTCCCGTCGTGTCCCGAGCATCATGATTTCTACTCGATGAAAATGAATAATCGCAAACATTCCAGTGTCGGCGTTTGTCGTGGACCCGTTTACTGTCACGCTTTCACAGATGCTGCAGACTTTCTACCTGCAGCGTCTACACAACATATGAAGCAGGAGAATGGATTGGGGTTGTCTAAAAGGAATAATGCAAGAGAGCTCTTTGTTCTTGGGCGATTCGAGCGCGTTCCACAACAAGACACGACAAACTTGTTGGAAGAGCTCAATCCACCTCCAACTTTTTCAAATGCAGCGGTTTTTGAACCTTTTCGTTTTACGTGTTTTCAAGCAGTTGAAATGGAAGAACGACGCATTTTATTGCCTCAAGAGATAGATGACACTTCCAAAGCTACTTCTACTATCTTAACAGATTCAAAAAGGCAATTTCTTCGAAGTACATGGTTCTTTTTACCAGATGTGTGGAAAGTGCAACCAATGTTAAAGAAGAAACGCAAAGCTACACGTTCAGCTCCAGCTCAAACATTTCCATTTTGTTTTCGTATTTTCATCTACACACGCGACCTCAATGGACCAGGATACTCGTGTATCGCTGATACAGCTTCAAGTTTTTTTGAACTTTATTCGACACGAACAGTAGATCGAGTCAAGCGCAAGTACTGGAGCAGTGACAGTATGTCAGATCAACGTCCAGCGAAACAACGTGGATTCTGATCATTATCACAGTATGCTTTTATGTTGAAGTAAAAAAATTAGAAAGATACCAATTAATAGAAAATTAAGCTGGAAGGTTTGTAAATTAGTTATCCGAATTTTGAGGATTTTTGTGTATTAATATAATACTTGAAGAGGCGGTAATAGTATGGGACCCCCTGGTGATGATGGAGCTCTGATTGAGGGTCTGCAGGAAGGCGGTGGGTCGGGCAAAGTACCAAAGATTTCGATTCTTCGACTGGAGATTGACACTGCTATGAAGGACGAAGCAGTGACACATTTGATTCAAATTCTTCAAAAGACACCCGACGCTATTGAAAAAGATATTGCTACCGATATGAAGAAACATTTCGACCAAAAATACGGACAGACATGGCATTGCATTGTGGGGAAAGGCTTTGGATGCTCAATTGCATACGACACGCAATACTTGCTTTTCTTTCGCGCTGACCAGCACTACGTTTTGATATTTAAGTCAACCGAGTGAGGAGGACAGTAACATTATTTACCGCTTATAAATGAATATGCATAACAAAATTTCCATCCTACAAAGCTGTAGCCACTTGAGTCAGCAACTTAAGAGTTGTCTTGGCAAACATCGCCACCGGATCTTGATTGTGTTTGTTGGGATCCAGAGTGTGAGCGTCTACAAAGCTTTGCTCCTCATCACGCGCCTGCTTAAACAACTGCAACACATCATTTCATTATCTTGCTTTACGAAAAATAAAACTTCGAATGTGATACCTCCTTGAGTTCGACCATATCCGGACAGCTGGAGTGAATCTCTCGAATCTGGTCGTTGTAATACTCGCTCACCGCCATCTTAACGCCCATAATATATGACACACTGACTGAGTCCCCCAATGGACGCAATGCGCAGCCTACAATTCAGCAACAGCATTAAAAGAGTTTCAAAGTGATGCTCTGTTCACTAGTGCACACATACCGATAGCATAACTGCATAGTTTTATTGCTGGAATCACTAGACTTGGACGAAATCTTAAATCCTTCGACTGAGCAGCCTCATCAATGCGATGCAACGCCTTCTTCTCAGTATCGCGGAGGTCCTGCCAATAAACATATTAGATCGTGCTCTCATTAATTGCGTACGCAACTATCGTGTGTACCTTGAGCTGATTAGAATGTTCTGCAGAATACATGTTTAATACGCGAAAGTTTGCCACCTAAGATATTCGAAATGGATTATAACTGCGTAGACAATAGAAGTAATGGGGAGGACCTTGGCGTCGAGCATTTTGGCATTTGCGAGTTGAATGGCTTGGCCGCCTCGAACCATCTCACTAATCTTCCCGTTAAGTGTATGTGGAGTGATCGGAACGTTGCCACAATTCTTCTCCAGCCAGTTAATTCGCGTGTAGGTGGAGGCGCGGCGCATGGTAACTTTGCATATACATTTAGAAACCAAACTGTAATTTATGTCTCCACACTAGATTACTGTGATGGAGCATACCGAAAGGCAAGATTGCGACCATTCCGGAAATTTCGGTAATCTACTTATGAGGCAGAATTGCGCAAGAGGCTTTCCTGTAATCAGTAGATCTTTTGCAGTTAAGATGACACATTGAGTGGCTTAGCTTTCCAGGTGATCATCGCTATCGATAACGTAGCCTACTATGAAATCCACAAGAAACTCTTGCGTAGACAAAAAAGATCCTCTACGCATCACTTGTTCATACTCAACAAAGGCGTTCTTCATCAACATTGTTTACATTTGTTTCAAACAACAGCGACTGTGAAACATCTCTGAGCGCATCAGATGCTAAGTAATATAACGTTTCAAAGCTTGAATGGGAGAGGTTGGGTCGAGCATAAAATCTGAGAAAATTGAGGTGTTTTGATACCAGATCCTATGAAAACTAAAAAGATGACATTTCCTGCTGCAGATCAAGTCGTGTAGGAGGTTCAACTGGTGAATGCACGCCCGGCTAAAACGTCGTAGGAGAATCAATAGAATATCAGCCCAAAACCGAGCGCCCAACAATGTATTCATTGACGCGTTTCACGCGCTCAGTCTGACCATCGTCTGCGGATGGTCCGCTGTCGACATACTCAACTTGGTGCCCAGCACCCATAAGATTGTAGTCCAAAACTTCCCAGTGAAGTGCGGGTCTCTATTAGAGACAATTGACTCCGGGAGTCCATGCTGTCGAAAGACACGGTCGACAACCAGCGTCGCTGTACACACACCGTCGACGGTTTCCGGCACTGCTGCAAGATGAGCCATCATGCTCAAACGGTTCACCAAGACCGCCACACCCGTGTTGCCCGCTGAGTCAATCGGCAGGCCAGACACAAAGTCCATACTCATGAACTGCCGACACCCGGAGGGTACCCGTAAACTGGCCAGGGCGCCGCCGCATTCGAAGAGGGTTTCACCCTTTGACACGTCTCACACGTGCGCACATATGTTCCCGTTCATTTCTACAGCACGGGCCACCAGTAGTGGCGACTCACAGAGCTGTAGGTCTTCTCACATCCGAGATGACTACTGAGTGGGGAGTTGCGAACCTCATAAAGATACGGTATTTCAAATTCTTATCGTGAGGAACCATACTTTGTTGCGTATCCGTCGAACTGGTGCTAGAATGCAGTACCCGTTACTCAACGAATATCAGTGTAACCGTGCGCGCAATAGCGTCGACAACTTCGTGTCCGTGATTCCATACTCCTTGCGCCCGAGAGCCTGTCGCAGCGCTACACACATACAATCACCCGCGAATGCGGCGCAGATCAAATCCGTCACTAATGACGTCACTGTCGTGACATGATCAAGCTCATGATCCGACCTACGTGACAACGCATCAGCAAAAGCATTCTGCTTTCCTGGCAAATACTTCATCTCGAAGTTTTATTCTGCAAAGAAGGAGAGCCACCTTGCTATCCTCTGCGAGAGATGAGGTGACTGGGTCGCAGTGCGTTATGACGCATGATCTGTGTAGACCACGAACGGCTTTGGGCCAAGTAGGTCATCCTGAACTTGACAAGTGCATACTTCATCGAAAGCTGTCTCTGAGCCTGTAATAAGCCTCTCGATGCTCGATGTTCCAGCACATTTCTGTATCCTGCTTAGAGAGATTAGCAATGGCCGTGCCATTTCCGCAAAATTTGCGCCATACTTGTCCAAGTAGTTGGCGCGACAAAGCCACTTGTGCAAGTTCTTTTGGCTCTTTGGGAGCGGCCAGTACACAATAACATTGACCTTAACGGAATCTGCTCGAAGTTCACGCTTCCCAGCGATGCACCCTAAAAAGAGAATTTCTTCCGCGCCGAAGATGCACTTATCTGCATTAGCATACAGCTTATTCGTGCGCATGCACACGAGCACCGCTCTCAATTGGGCGATGTGACTTTCCTCATCTGTCCTCTCGTGCCCCACACGACTGTGGACGAAGATGTCGTCGAAGTATGTTTGTGCATACGCCCGGTGGGGCCTGAACAATTGCGTCACAAGACAGTTAAATGTTGTTGGTGCATTGGACAGCCCTTGGGGCATCACCAGCCACTCCCAGGGCATCCCGCTCGGATTACTCATCGCTGTCAGCGGAATATCACTCGCTCTCATGAGCAATTGGTAATACCCATCGACCAAG